CAGCTCTGACATGGTGTGCTTTGCAGGTACCACAGAGCGAGTGATTTGACCGCAGCACTGACATGGTGTGCTTTGCAGGTACCACAGAGCGAGTGATTTGACCGCAGCACTGACATGGTGTGCTTTGCAGGTACCACAGAGCGCGTGTGCCTCATCCAGGGCACAGTGGAAGCTCTTAATGCCGTTCATGGCTTCATTGCCGACAAGATTCGGGAGATGCCCCAGAATGTGGCCAAAACGGAACCTGTCAGCATCCTGCAGCCCCAGACCACCGTCAACCCCGACCGCATCAAGCAGGTGAGCCCTCACCTGGAACTCCGGGGCCGTTACCACTGGGACAGAAGCACGACAGTCCACATGGCCTGTGACACCATGCATGCCTGGTCACTTTATTCTGGAGTTAATGGAGGGTCAAATTTTGACTTTTCAACCTTCAGCGTCATTAATTCCCCAGACTGAAACCAGAATTTGAAATGGTGTGGAAATGGATGGATAAGAAATTGCTTAAAGTCTCATCAGAAGCTTGTCATGTTGTAGACAAGGCTACTGCACCTTATCTTGCTTTTTGATGATACAAATTCTGACCTGCCAGTTAAAAAGGATTTTTATCGTTTGTGTGTGTGTGTGTTTGAGAGAGGTGATTCTTGTTTTAATGCATTTTAAATTTCTGATGAGTTCTCTTACTCAGCGGGAACAGTATGTTATTGTGGGAGGTAAGTGGTCTGCCTGATGCTTCATCAGATGGCTCTCACAGTGCACTTGGGTACTTCCCACAGCAGTTAGAGGCTCTCTTTATGCTCCCTGAGTATTACGCCTTAATGTGGTAAGAGTAGCCATTTTGTTTCTCCATTGGAATACAGGTATGGCACCAGAGTCCATGATCAGATTAGCAGTGTCTACATGCAGTTTGTTCAATACATGTTTAGTAAATTGGTCTTTGTTCATAGTGGCTTATAAAAGTATCGACATTGTAGCTGCATTACATTTAGTGCTGGGTATCATTTGAGTACTAAAACATTTAAAAAGGTGCCGGGGCTTAAATGCTGCCTGAACTGGTACTTTTTTAAGAAATAAAGCACGAAATGAACAACTTCAATTTGAACAATACATTAACTTCATGCCTTAAATATATAAATACACCTAAATATGAAAATATAGCTTTAGTCCTTTGATCTGTGTAGCTACTAGCTGACGGTGGGCATCTGCTGACATCAGAGCAAGTGTAACGTTAGCTTGCGATGACACGTGAGGTACAGTGATGCTTCTGTTGCCTGAGCCCTAGAGGGAAAATATTTCAGTCCATAGCTCAGGCTTGTATGGTCCAGGACATACTGACCATATAGGAACCGGTGCCATATTGGCACTGGGTTTTGGTACCTAACCCTAATTAGAATAAAGATTTTACTGTGCTGTTTACCATGTTTACAATCAGTTAAGTACAAACATCCTCTACTCAGTATATCAAGGATAACTATTGGTGCTTTTCCACTGGAGTACAGGAACCGACCGGCACCCGAGCCGTACCGCAGAGAGAGGTCAGTTTCAGCACGGTTCCAGCTGGCTTCGGTTCTCCGCTGCAGATGGGTCGGCTCGACAAAGGCATCGTTGAGTTTGGAGAGTGATAGTGACACAGAACTGAAAAGACGCTTATTTACTGTTCACACAGTGAAGCTTGTGATTTCGAACCCTGTTTCCTAAAAATTGGGACACTGTAAAATGTAAAGAAAAACGGAATGCAATTATTTTCAAATCATATAAACCCACATTTAATTTAAAATAAAACAAAGACAACATATCACATGTTGAAACAGAGAAATTTTATTGTTTTGTTGAATATAATGCCAGCAACATGTTTCAAAAAAGTTGGGACAGAGATATATTTACCACTGTGTTGCATTGCCTTTTCTTTAACGAGGCTCTGTAAATATTTGAGAACTGAGGAGACCAGTCACTGCAGTTTTGAAAGTGAAATGTTGTCCCATTCTTGCCTGATACAGCATTTCAGCTGCTCAACAGTTTGGGCTCTCTGTCGTATTTTTCGTTTCCTGATGCAGCAAATGTTTTCAGTGGTTGAAAGGTCTGGACTGCAGGCAGGCCAGTCTAACACCCAGACTCTCCTACTACAGAGCCATGCTCTGAATAAGATGTTGTCTGGATGGCAGCATATGTTGCTCCAAAACCTGTATATATCATTCAGCATTAATGGTGCCTTCCCAGATGTGCAAGCTACCCAAGCCATGGGCACTAGTGCACTCCCATTCCATCACGAATGCTGGCTTTTGAACTGTCCTCTGGTAACAAGCTGGATGGTCCCTCTTCTCTTTAGCTCGGAGGACGCAGCATCCATGATTTTCAAAAAGAGTTTGAAATTTTGATTCATCAGACCACAGGATTGTTTTCCATTTTGATGAGTCAATCTTAAATGAGCTCAAACCCAGAAAATTTGGTGGCGTTTCTGGATCATGTTTAGATTTGGTTTCTTCTTTGCATGGTAGAGTTTCAGCCTGCATTTGTGGATGCAGTGACGAGCTGTATTCACAGACACTGGTTTTCGTAAGTGTTTCTGAGCCCATACTGTGATCTTGTCTGTTTTTAATGCAGTGCCGCTTGAGGACCTGAAGATCACAGCTGTCCAATATTGGTTTTCGCCTTGCCCCTTGTGCACAGAGATTTCTCTGGATTCTCTGAATCTTTTAATGTTATTAGATACTGTAGATGATGGAATTCCCAAATTCTTTGCAATATTATGCTGAGGAATGTTGTTCTTAATTGAGTGGTGCACCTTTCCCTATTCTCACTGCACAAAGATTTTTACACTCAGTCATCTTCCTGACCTGTTGCCAGTTTACCTAATTAGTCGTGATATATTCAATCCGGTGTTTTGTTTTAGCTTTGCACAATTTTTCCAGTGTTTTGTCACACTGTCTCAACACTTTTGAATATGCTGCTGGCATCAAATTTAAATGGAGCTCTGGAAAAATTTAAGAGACCCCAGCAATTTTTTTTTGTTTCACTCATTTCTCAATTAATGGGTATGTTTCTGTGTAAAATATACATTTTCTTTGCAAACTCCTGCCTGGCTCTTCCCTGTTTCTCATTAACGAAGGGCTTCTTCCTTGCTTTATGGGTCTTCAGTCCTGCTTCTATGAGTCCATTATGAATTTCCTAGCGATGCACTTCATACCACTTAATGTTTCCCATTCCCTTTGAAGGTCACTTGAGGTCATCCTTCGATTTATGAGGGACTCTTGGATAAGTTGACAGTCATCCCTGGCATTATAAAGTTTCTTCTGCCCTCTACCTGGCTGGTTTCTGGTCGTTCCCAGTGTCTCCTGTTTCACCTGGTTCTTGTGTACTGCGGTCTTAGAAACTTTGAGCCTGGAAGCAACCTGCCGCTCAGTGTAGCAGCCTGCCAGCAGAACCAGAAGTAAACCAGGATTTAATAATGCAGTTTTTAAAAAATATAAAGTGGTCTTGTGATTTTTTCCAGAGCTGTATTTATTAAACAATAAAATTTCTCACTTTCAACATTTGACATGTTGTCTGTTCTGTTTTCAGTTAAATACAGGTTTATATGATTTGCTAATCATTGCATCCATTTTTATTTACATTTTACACAGTGTCCCGACTTTTTTGGAAACGGGGTTGTACTTTGTGCGATTAATGTTATTTTTTTAATGTGTGCTAGGTCTCACATGTCTGTGTGAATCGCCATGTTACGCAACTATCAAATGCTAGTGGAATTAGCATTGGCTTGTGTAAATTTGCATTATGAATCCATTACTTTCAGCTATTCTATAGTACGTTTTTTTAAGTAGGAGGTTGGAAAGTTTCAAGTTCTGAGTTTTCAGGAATGCACCTCAATGCGTGATGCTAATGAGTTATATATAGACGACGTATATCGTCTGCGTCTTCCTTCTGATAATCCAGGCGCAGAGCAGCGCTATCCCTCGCCTTCGGTCACGCTTTCGGACCTGCTAGTAAGTGTGATTACGGCTCGGCTGTGGCACGGTTCTTGGTGCCTGTGGAAAAGCTCCGCGTGACATTTCACCTAACAAAAGTAGTAAAAGGGCAATATACAGGTACTGTCTAGTAGGGTTTATTGGCATCCAAGTATCCAGTTATGGCAGGTTAATCGGCTGGATATGATGTATCGTAGTATATCGAAATTCCTGCTGAGGTGGGTTTACAGTTGTGAACCTTGTTTGGTGTGAAGCATGTTCACCAGCTCGACTCCAAGATCAGTGTACCGGTAATACTGCAGTGTGTTTGACATGATGTTCATCAGTTCTTCCTTTAACAAACCAACAAATAGAATGAAAATTAATACAATGACCGGTTGAATCTATGGTTATTTATTTTTTTAAAAGGCTGTCAAAGATAATTGTGCTTGTTGGCGATAAGTACAGTCTTGGTAAATGGTTAATGATACGTAGGTAGGGCAGGTGCAGAAGATGGCAAAGAACTACATAAAAATGTGCAATAGTAAATACAGATGAGGTCACACTACGCAAACGTTTTTTTATGTCTCTTCCTGTATGTCCACGTGTTTTATAGTCATTGTGTTTACACATCATAGTGTTACACCGTTACACTCCTGTCCATGAGGATGGCAGGTGTGCAAAAACAAAATCAGCCTCACCCCCCCGATGGAGCGCCGAGCTGATTAAAGCAGCACGACCCATTATCAATTGTTTTTTTATTTTTTATGTATGGTATATGTGTGGAATTAGAACATAAACACAAGTGTTTAGAGATAATTACAGCGTGATTTCCGTTAGTATAAGTTCATCTCTGTACAGGCTAAAAAAACAGCAGGCAATGCAAAAAGGCTGCAGTCTGTATAGGAAAAGCCAAATGTTACTTACTGTATGAAGCATTTAGTTAAAATGTGCTCTAAACAAAGTTGCTTGATACACTTATAAGCGTAGCTTCTGTGTTTCAGTTCTTCGAGGAAGTGTGCAGTTGTAATAAAAAAGCTATTCTGTCCCCCCCAATGTTTCTCTGTATTTAATAAATGAACAGAACAATAAGTAACATCCTGATCTCTGACATGAAGGAGTGATGACGTAAAAATCTTCATCTGAGATATTGAGGAGAACAAGTGGAATCTCCCATCTCTAAGCCCCCCTGTGACTTGCGTAGGTTTAGTCTTGCAGCTGGACAGGAGCTCTGGTCTCCCAGTTTGAGGTGGCGAGATCAACAAAGAGTATTGTCCATCTCTAGGTCTTCATTTTCATGCCAGATTCCCATTGCCATAAATTGAGCCATCGTTTTTGACGTAGGCCTTGGTGATC